ACTGAGTTTAATGGGCAAGAGTTTTTATGGAAATTTTATGCACGTTGGAACGGGAATTTGCAGACTGGTTTGAATCGCCCGATTTTTGCAACAACTTTGCTCGACTTCACTTTTGCACTCATTAAAAGTCCGGCATCGAGTCGACCCGGAATGCTCTTAAAAATGCCCACTGCCTTGGTTTTTACGGGATTTTCAATTTTCGCACGCCCGGCTGAAGAGAATTTCTTGGGCTTCATGGGGCAGTTTGACTTTTTGAAATCGCCCCACTACTAAGGAAGTTAGATGAAAACTCGACGACAAAACACACATTGCTGTTTTATGTTTGAAATGCTCAAAAATCCAGTAATTTTCAGCATATTTCCATAGTTAAAAAACTGGTGAAATTATATTTCAATAAATTAAGTTTATTTTGCGTTAAAAAAGCTTATTTTTGGCTTTTTAATTTTTTGAATCCGACTCATATCAACGATGTTATGGCCAAAATGGCGCATTTTGGTTTTCCCAGAAAATGACCGAAAGCCATGATGTTTTTTTGCAATTGAAAACGCATATTTTCGTTCGTTTTCATAGGCATTTTGTACAATTCTTGTTATACGTCTTTTTCTCTTCGGTTCCTTGTGCGTTGCAAAATCATTACTTTTGTGCAGACACCCCCTGGCGGATAAACTTATAACTGCAAGTTAAGTAGTAATCTGCCACTTGTTTTGTTGACATTGATGTCACATTCCTATGGTGACTAGTTAGTCCTTCCATGGCGACTGCCAAAAATTGATTTAACGAGTTTCAACGTGGTCGCACGTCGGGTTTTGTTGAGCCAAGCTGTCTGCGCATCCTACTGCAGAGTCTCCATAAGAATACCTTCCCGATCTGTAAATAACGCTTTTTTATTTAGTACATATTTTTTAGTTATTCTTAGTAACTAAGAATATATTTAATCATGTAGTATGAAAACAATACTTTCTGATTTTTTGCTGAATCACTTACATTTTGATCAATAGGTACTGTTTCAATTTTGAAAATTAGAGCCATTAAAACTCCAATGTAGCATTTTATCGATTTATATAAGTAAAGCTATTAACTATTTTGTGTATAAATCTCCTCTAGTGGTAAAATGTCAGATTGTCCTGCGTCAATCATTTTGAAAGATTTTCTTTTTCTCCTAATTCACCATAGAAACGTTTTAACGACAATATCAAGACTGAGGTTACATGTTTACATGTTCCGCATTGCAGCCACCACGGCCGACTAGCTACTTGACGTCACAACGGCGCGTTATAAGAATGATTTCAATTATACAGTTTTTAATTGCTTATATTAATTTCATAGAAATAAAAAATGAGTTTCTTGGTAAACTGTGGTGGTTTTAATAGTATTAAGTTACGTTTGCGTTCCCAATTAGGCTACGGACTGCTGCCTCATCCACCGTATTTTCCAGGCTTGGCCCCGTGCGACTTATTTTTGTTTCCAAACTTAAAAAAGTCACGCCGGGCCAAACGTTGAGAAATAAATCGCGGCTTTTCCAAAATTTTTATAGAAAAAAATTAATGAAAATAAAAATTTTTGAAAAATCATAATTCGAAGACGCTTTTTTGGTTAGATTTGAGTTCAGTAAGAAAGTTTTTTTGCACAAAAAAAATTACTTGCTATATAGTTATGATTTACTTTATAGCAGATCGTGTGAAATACCATATTTTCTCATGAATTTACCGGCTGCGGAAATTATTTCTAGGTTTTATAATTTTTCCTTATTCCACAATAAATCAAGTATACTTGCGCCAGATTTCATCCCAATCAGTTGGTTCAGATTGAATGAATTGAATGTTCAGATGGTACGATAAAGAACAAGAAAAGAAAATCACACTGTGTGCCGTACGTCGTTTGTAGTTACCACTTGGCAGTTACCGCAGTTCGGGAAATAAACATACGGGCGCGCACGTACCAAATTAAAAACCGGCGTTCCTTGAAGTTTCTCGATTCCATGCCGTTAGTAATTAACCAAATTTTATTTCGCCGCCGATTGTCGTGCGTGCAGTTGGTGATTCAACCAATGAGCGAAATAATTTCATATCACGTGAGCGACTGACAATGACATTTGTCAAAACGAGGTCGTGTTTTGTTTAGGTTTTTGGCAAGATGGCAGACCAAATTATTGCCGTTGAGGTTCTAGACCTCAGCAGCTGGTTAATACAACGTATTATGAATACTTGTACAATTTAATACACAGAAAATGTAAAAAATGCACAGTAAAAATGGGTTGCGCGGGTTGAATTAGCGAAATAGAAAATCAAGCATGTTACTAAGACCCTTTTTCTTCAATACCAAATATGAAGCTAAAATCAACTTAAACGTAAGTAGCTGGCGTTGAGACAATCTCGACATTTTGATATTAAAACGACCAAAAAATTGAATTGATGTGTGTATTATTGTGTACACACAACACACAACATATGCCTCGGTAACTCAGTGAATTTTTATTAGCTAGCGCAGTGTTGCGCCAACTCAACGCACCGGCGCACTCAATTCAGTTCTTCTCTTAACACGCCGTCTCCCTCCGGAGGTTGGCGATCCAACTGGCAACAATGGTGTGCGAGACTGCACCTTTATATATTTCTGTTGATGCTCTTCCGAACCATTGACGTAAGTCATGCTATGAGTTTTGTCGCCTTCCTATGGATCTTTTTCCCTTGATTTTTTCAACTCAATGCTGAGTTTAAAGATCCCACAACGCTCTCCTCGCATTATGTGTCCTATGTATAGTAGCTTACGCTCTTTCATGGCCAACATAGGCTCTCTACCCTTATCCATTCGTCTGAGTATTTCCTCGTTAGTGACCAG